CAGTAGCCGATGCTAGTCACAATAGAAATTTCAACAAACTTAATGAGTTATAAAGATCTATATCTATCTATATCTATAGATAGAAAAATACAAAAATAAAAAATAGAATTTGGAGCATGTTGATTAGAAAGTAGTGAGATAACAATATTTTTTGTTTAACATGGGGACGGACACCATCGCCAACATAATAACGTATATACGAAATGCTGACATGAATAAAAAAGGAATGATTCAATTACCTTTTACTAATATTACAGAAAAGACTGTAAAAATACTTTTACGAGAGGGTTTTGTTGAAAACGTCAGAAAACATAAAAAAAAAGAAAACGACAATTATTTTTTAGTTTTAACTCTACGGTATAGAAGAAATAGAAAAGAATCCTATAAAAGTTTTTTAAATTTAAAACGAATAAGTACACCAGGTCTACGAATATATTATAATTATCAACGAATTCCTCGAATTTTAGGGGGCATGGGGATTGTAATTCTTTCAACTTCTAAAGGTATAATGACAGATCGAGAGGCTCGATTAGAAAAAATCGGAGGAGAAGTTTTATGTTATATATGGTAATCTTTCTAATATCCGAATTATATGAGAAACTTCCACTCCATTTATGTAAAAAGTAAAAAAAAGAGAGAAAAAGTTTATAATAGAACTTCACCCCTCAAATATATATATTTGTGAGTGTAAGAAGGGATTTAACTGGAATTCTAATATAAAAAGGGGAAATTCGCGAAGATTTAATTACTAAATAAATAACTTATCCATTTGGATTTTTATTTCTATTATAGGCTATGTTTCCAAAACGATTCAACATACTTTTTCTGGACATACGATAAGGAAAGAAAAAAAAGATAAGTCATTCAAATGAATTAGGATGTTTTTGAATCTCAACATTCTTTTCATTTTATGGAAAAGACCACAAATCTAAGTTCAAAAATGTAAGGAAACCTTATTCTCTTCCAAAATCTGGGATTAACTTATTAAGGAATGGCAAATATGAAAATAAACGCCTCGGTTCGTAAAATTTGTGAAAAATGTCGATTAATTCGAAGACGAGGACGAATTATAGTAATTTGTTTCAATCCAAGACATAAACAAAGACAAGGATAATATTTTAACAAATGGAAATTTTCTAAAAAAATAGAATAGAGAAAAGAATAGAAAAATTTATATTTTATTATATCTATTATTCTATCAAAATAAAAAATCCATTTTTTTTTATTTTATAAATATTATTATAAATATTATTGATATTTCAAATTTTAAATTTTATTTCAAAAATTGTATATTATATTAATCGAAATCAAATAAATAGAATTAATATAGAAAAAATCGAATATTAATTAGAGTTAGAAAATAAAAATAATTTATCAAAGGATCCGTTTTTGACATGAAATGGATATCTCCATACCCTATATGTTAGACTTCTTTTTTGAAATAATTAAATATTGAAATAATTAAATATGTCAAAATCTATACCTAAAACGGGTTCGCAGAAAAATGTTCGTATTGGTTCGCGTAATCATACTCGTAAAATACCAAAGGGAATTATTCATGTTCAAGCTAGTTTCAACAATACTATTGTGACTATTACAGATGTACGAGGTCGGGTGATTTCTTGGTCCTCTGCTGGTACTTGTGGATTCAAGGGTACACGAAGGGGAACACCTTTTGCGGCTCAAACTGCAGCAGGAAATGCTATTCGAACAGTATCGGATCAAGGCATACAACGAGCAGAAATCATGATAAAAGGGCCTGGTCTTGGAAGAGATGCAGCATTAAGAGCTATTCGTAGAAGTGGTATACTATTAAATTTTATACGAGACGTAACTCCTATGCCACATAATGGATGTAGGTCTCCTAAAAAAGACGTGTATAAAACTAAAAATTAACATTAAAAATATTTCAAGAGAAATAAACAAGTCAATAGTTTGATCAAAATAATAGATTACTATGGTTCGAGAGAAAATAAGAGTATCTACTCGGACACTACAATGGAAATGTGTTGAATCAAGAATACACAGTAAGCGTCTTTATTATGGACGCTTTATTCTGTCCCCACTTATGAAAGGTCAAGCCGATACAATAGGCATTGCAATGCGAAGAATTTTACTCGGAGAAATAGAGGGAACATGTATCACACGTGTAAAATTAGAAAAAATACCACATGAATATTCTACCATAATAGGTATTGAAGAATCAGTACATGAAATTTTAATGAATTTGAAAGAAATTATATTGAAAAGTCATATATATGGAACTCAGGACGCATCTATTTGTTTCAAAGGTCCTGGATATATAACCGCTCAAGACATCATTTTACCACCCTCGGTGGAAATCGTTGATAATAGACAACATATAGCCAACGTAACAGAACCTGTTAATTTGTATATGGAATTAAAAATTGAGAGGAGTCGTGGGTATCATATAAAAACACTAAAAAACTTTCAAGACGAAAGTTATGCTATAGATGCTATATTCATGCCTGTTCGAAATGTAAATTATAGTATTCATTCTTATGTCAATGGAAATGAAAAACAAGAGATACTCTTTCTCGAGATATGGACAAATGGAAGTTTAACTCCCAAGGAAGCCCTTTATGAAGCCTCCCAAAATTTGATTGATTTATTTATTCCCTTTTTACACGCAGAAGAATATAACTTTAATTTAGAAAAAAATCAACAGAAAGTTACTTTGCCCCTTTTTACTTTTCATAATATATTGGTTAAGGATAAACTAAGAAAAAAGAAAAAAGAAATAGCATTACAATCCATTTTTATTGACCAATTAGAATTACCTCCCAAGATCTATAATTATCTCAAAAGATCCAATATTCATACATTATTAGAACTTTTGAATAACAGTCAAGAAGACCTTCTGAAAATTGAACATTTTCGCGTAGAAGATACAAAATCTATATTGGACATTTTAAAAATAGAAAAACATTTTGCATAATTTTGAAATCTATTGAAATAGGATTTTGTCAAATTTCTTTTTTTTCTAAATTAAAAATGAAGGGGCAAGGTCAAAATATGTAATTTAAATATTTAGAATAAATCCAAATGTTCAGAATATATCTAAAATGGAATAGATGTATCTAGGGATTAGTCGGTTCAAAATGAATTCTCCCTAGATAGACAATACAGATGTCATGATATTTTATTTAAAATTTAATTCAAAATGAAATCAATCTTCTAGGTTTAAAAAAGACCTAATGTTAGGGATTTCTCAATAGGTAATGTTGCTCCAATACCTAACCAAAGAGCAACTACAGTACCAATCAAAAAGATGGTGGTTGCTACTGGACGGCGAAATGGATTTTGGAATTTATTAACATTCTCCAAAAAGGGTACTGTTAATAATCCCGTAGGTACCGAAACCATTAAAAGAACGCCCAATAACTTATTGGGCACTGTACGAAGTATTTGAAATACAGGAAAGAAATACCATTCAGGTAGTATTTCCAAAGGAGTTGCAAATGGATCAGCGGGTTCCCCAATCATGGATGGTTCTAGAACCGCTAAGCCTACGTTACAGGCAATAGTACCTAGAATTACTACTGGAAAAATATATAAAAGATCGTTGGGCCATGCGGGTTCTCCATAATAATTATGACCCATTCCCTTAGCCAATTTAGCTCTTAATACAGGATCATTCAAGTCAGGTTTTTTTGTTATTGGGATAGGTGAATTCTTATAGATCCATCCTCCGAAAGAACCGGATATGATAATTTTTCATCATCCGGCTCGAGCACTAATCAAATATTTCAACTGTATCTATAGAAAAAAATCGAAAAAAAATGTATGTGTTATCCACACAGATATGAAGATTCTATGTAAGAAAATAAACTCGATTCTCTTTTTCTTACAATTTTTGATTAAAAAAAATGCAGTTCTTATTAAGTAAACTTTAGTAAACGCTCAATACCCGAGTAGACTTTTAAAGTTGATAATGCTTTCTGGGTGATCTCAAACTTTGCAATTGTTACCCTGCCCCCCAAAAAAAATCTTGAGACCTTTTATGTACAAAGAATTTACTTGTTACTAATATAATCTAACTCGCGTTGTTCTTTAGATCTACTTTGTTCACTCCAATAGTATCAGAAATCGAATCAATCAATGCATAGGAAATGAATGCGTTGTCATACTATTAAGTTTACTGAAATACATCAGATAGAATTCAGACTATACCACATCACTTATTTTACTGGATCTTACGGAGCCTGTTGATGCAGAATAAAATCGAATCTGATCATAGAAAAGATTCTCTTCAAGTAAACCCAGTCTACCCTCTTTGTAAGAGCCTTGCTTGGTGGTTGGAAAAAAGACACATTTAATAGTAAATTCTAATGTGGCAGATAAGATAAAGTCATAGATCTGCGCGGCCAAATAAATAGTTCAAGTCACACACTCCCATAATCCATTTTTTGTTCGGAGAGTTCCTTTCAACTATTCATGTATGTAAAAAAAATTCAATTTTTGTTAAGTTGAAGAGAAAAATCTAAAAACATGTCTTATTTTTTTTAGAATCCATATTTGTAGCAATGAAATAAATTCCTCCCCAAAATAAAAAAGGATTGTGATTACAAATATCTATGATCCATATTCACTATAAAGGGCCAGAAATGCCTTGCTTACGTATCATTGAAAAGTGCATTAACATAAATACAGCAGTCAGAAGTGGTAATACAAAAGTATGCAAACTATAAAAACGAGTTAAGGTAGATTGGCCCACACTGGAACTTCCGCGTAATAACTCTACCAAAGACGATCCTATTACAGGAATAGCTTCGGGTACGCCTGTTACAATTTTGACTGCCCAATAACCAATTTGATCCCAAGGTAAGGAATAACCTGTGACACCAAAAGATGCAGTTAATACAGCCAAAACTACACCCGTAACCCAAGTTAATTCGCGAGGTTTTTTAAAACCACCTGTAAGATACACACGAAATACATGTAGGATCATCATTAAGACCATCATACTTGCCGACCATCGATGAACTGATCGGATTAACCAACCAAAATTAGCCTCAGTCATTATATATTGAACAGAAGCAAAAGCTTCAGTAACGGTTGGACGATAATAAAAAGTCATAGCAAATCCCGTTGCTACTTGGACTAAAAAACAAGTAAGTGTAATTCCTCCTAAACAATAAAATATGTTCACATGAGGCGGAACGTATTTACTGGTTATATCATCGGCAATCGCCTGAATTTCAAGACGTTCTTCGAACCAATCATAGACTTTATTGAGATAGGTAACCCAAAGGAACCCCCCTCGAGAACCGTATATGCGAATTTCATCTCGTACGGCTCAAACAAAAATACCCAAATATTTGTTGTAACAAAAACAGATATCTGTAATAGAAAATTTGAAACTTCTTTATTGAATCCTATGATTCTAATTTTATCTTACGATAAGAAAAAATAGAAATCCGAAGGCTATTCTTTTTGGTTATAATGCCAAATTCTCAAATCGGCACACTCGTCTTTTTCTTGATCTTTTAAGGCCTCTTGAATATTCTATTATTTCCTTCATTTTTTTATTTGTATAATGTGATTTTACTGCTTTATTATTTAATTTTTATTATTGATTGATAAGGATTCTCTTGTTAGGACCATATGAATGAATAAAAAAACATAAGATTCATACTATAACCACGATGATTCAAAAAACCTTTAATTGAAGTCCAAAAATTACCTGAGTAAGAATTGCTGGATCATCACTTCTTCAATGAATAGATATAATGAAAAAATTCAAGGAAATGTCCTTTGCTCAAAATAAAGACAAGCTCCAGAAGCTTGAAAAAATGAAAATTTTTAAATTGATTTTTACAACTCTTTGAAAAGGTTTTTAAGTCCAGTTGCGAGGTCTAAATATTTAGTATGAATCATAGTTTTAATATTTTTAGAATCTATTTTCTATATTCCGTGCTCCAGATACTAGATGAAATATCTGATGGAATAAACCCATCTCTATCAAGATGACAGACCCATTTTATGTTCTGTACTTTCAATAGGACCAATTAAAACAAGTCACACACTCATATTCCGAAAATACAGAAACACAAAAATTCTACGATCAAACTACCAAATCAAAATGGAATAGACTAACAATAAGAAACCTAAAAGCTTCACTTTCTATTGAAATACTAATTACTCGATTCTTGTAAATCTAATTCATTGAAATTCCGTCCAATAAAATGGACGAATTATAAATCTCCAAAATAATAGATAGAAATATCGCAAATAGAGCCATTGCAACACCCATCAAAGGAGTAGTTCCCCATCCCGGGGCTACTTTACCATATTCTGAATTTAAAGGTTTCAATAAATTCCCTACAACAGTTCGTCTTGGACCAGATCTCGAATTATCCTCAACGGTTTGCGTAGCCATAAATACTATTTTTTATTCATTTAGATCTGTTGACTTTGTATACCATTCGGCTGTAAATATAAGGATTTTATCCTATAGATCTATTGTGATCTGGAAACTTTATGATTAGAAAAATGGAAACAGCAACCTTAATTGCCATCTCTATATCTGGTTTACTTGTAAGTTTTACTGGGTATGCCTTATATACTGCCTTTGGGCAACCCTCGCAACAACTAAGAGATCCATTTGAAGAACATGGGGACTAGTTGAAGTAATGAGCCCTCCATATTGGGGGCTCATTACTTCAATTAAGCTAATAAAAAAGAATTAAGATAATCAAAAATTATTTAACCTTTTTCGTCGGAACTTTAGGGGGTTCTCTAAAAAAAATAGCGAAAAAGATAATTCCTAAAGTTGAGACTAAGAGAAATGTATAAACCAATGCTTCCATAGATTTAATCGTGGTTTACTATATATAGCTTTCATGTGTTCTTTTACAAAATAAGGTTGATTACTTGATTAAAACTTTGACAAAATTTACTCAAGGTAAAGAGAATTTAGATGCACTTCTTGGGTCTCAAAACTGTGTGTTTGAACATTCTGGAATCGGGTACAAACCTAAGAATGGGGTAAAAACTAAAAAATATTTGAACTTCTTTTCATATAGAAAAACAACAACATCCCCTTTCTCATCTTGTCATTACTGCATGAAGAAAGGACATACTATAAAATTTTGTCATGCTAGAAAATATTTTGTGCCGCAAGGTAGTTAGAAATGGGTTCCAAAACATGTTAAACAGAAAACTTGACTCCTAAGGACCCAAAATACTAAAGGGTACCAAATACTTGATGTTTGATCTTTCAGGAACAGCAACAAGAGTCCCTTTGGTACCTGGACAGCGGATGCTCAAGGCACATGACAGGTGACATTTCAAAATTCCAGAAGCTGAAATTGAAGAATGGAGGTCATGTGACTTATGGAGACAACAACAAGGGAAGAATTCTAGGTTCTGGAGATATTGGAGATGGTGAATCAGTAACCATTCACAATGTTCTTCTTGTTGAAGGTCTCAAGCACAATCTAATCAGTATAAGTCAGTTATGTGATCTTGGTCACAAAGTTATTTTCAAACCAGAAAAGTGCCTAATCTGTGAGCCAGAATCTGACATGGTAATGTTGGTAGGTAAGAGGTTAAACAACATTTACATGTTAGATATCAAACATTCCATATCATCTCAAAGCTGTCTTCTTACTAAGGAAGAAGAATCTTGGTTGTGGCATAGAAGGTTTGCTCATATACATCTTAATCATCTGGTCAAACTGATTTCAAAAGAATTAGTTTCTGGGCTGCCTAAGCTTCAAATCTTGAAAGACAAAATCTGTGAAGCTTGTTTAAAAGGTAAACAAACTAGAAAATCTTTTTCAAACAAAAACATTGTTTCTACTTCCAGACCTTTGGAACTTCTTCACATGGATTTGGTTGGTCCTTCAAGGAATAAAAGCCTAGGTGGTAATCTTTATATCATGGTAATTGTTGATGATTTTTCCAGATTTACCTGGACTGTTTTTCTTAAAGCCAAATCTGATTCTTACAAATCTTTCAAAAAGCTTGCCAAGGTTTTACATAATGAAAAAGGGTATTTCATTACATCTATTCAAAGTGACAATGGTGGAGAATTTGTAAATGAAAAGTTTGAATCATTTTGTGAAAAGTTTGGCATAAAACATAATTTTTCTGCTCCAAGAACTCCTCAACAGAATGGTGTTGTGGAAAGAAAGAACAGATCCATTGTGGAACTTGCTAGAACAATGCTTTGTGAAAATTCTTTACCTAAATATTTTTGGGCAGATGCAGTAAACACTGCCTGTCATGTTTTGAATAGAGTCTTGATTAGACCCATGCTTAAGAAAACCCCATATGAACTGTACAAAGGAAGAAAACCCAACATAAACTATTTCAGGGTTTTTGGATGTACATGTTTTGTTTTAAACAATGGGAAAGAAAATATTGACAAGTTTGATGAGAAATCTGACAAAGGAATCTTTCTTGGTTATTCAACTAACGGCCATGCATATAGAGTCTACAATTTAAGACTGAAATCTGTTGAAGAATCAGTACATGTTGTTTTTAATGAGTCTCCAGGAGTGGTGCAGAATAGAACAACAGGTACTGCAGATGAAGAAGATTTAACTGATAATTCTTATCAGTTGAAACATCCCAGTAGCTCAGTTCAATATATTATTGAAGAAGGTGATCAATCAGTTGATCCTGCAAAAGCTGATCCACCAACAATCACTGAAGAACAGGAAGAAGATGTCCTGGAAGAACTTCCTAAAGAGTGGATTGTCCCAAGAGATCTCTCTCTAGACAATGTCATCGGGCAAATCAATAAGGGAGTATCTACTAGACATTCTCTTAATCAATTCTGCAATCATATGGCATTCATTTCACAAATAGAACCTAAATCTGTTAAAGATGCATTGAATGATGAATACTGGGTTAGTGCCATGCATGATGAGCTTAATCAATTTGAAAGGAATAATGTGTGGGAATTAGTTCCTAAAATCGAAAATATCAATGTGATTGGTATTAAGTGGGTATTCAAAAACAAACTAGATGAACACGGCATTATCACTAGAAATAAAGCTAGGTTGGTAGCCAAAGGGTATAACCAACAAGAGGGTATTGATTTTGATGAAACCTTTGCACCTGTAGCTAGACTTGAAGCTGTCAGATTATTATTAGCTTATGCTTGTATAAGTGGTTTCAGATTGCTACAGATGGATGTCAAGAGTGCCTTTCTTAATGGACTTATCAATGAAGAAGTGTATGTTTCTCAACCTCCTGGGTTTGAAAATCACAAACATCCTGACCATGTCTACAAATTGAAAAAGGCTCTTTATGGTTTAAAGCAAGCACCTAGACAATGGTATGAGAGGTTAAGTAACTTCCTAATTGATCAAGGGTACAAGCGAGGTGAGGTTGATAAAACTCTATTCATTAAGAAATTTGGAACTGACATTATTCTGGTGCAGGTGTATGTGGATGATATCATTTTCGGTTCTACAAATAATGCCATGTGTAATAAGTTTGTAAAGGAAATGCAAAGTGAATTTGAAATGTCTATGATGGAAGAATTGAATTTCTTCCTTGGTCTCCAGGTTAAGCAATTGAAAAATGGCATTTTTCTAAGTCAATCTAAATACTGCAATGAGTTGTTAAAGAAATTTGATATGCACAATTGCAAAGAATCCTCTACTCCCATGTCTACTAACTGCTGTCTAGATTTAGATGAAAAAGGGAAATCTGTTGATCAAACTAAATATAGAGGTTTGATTGGTTCTCTACTATATCTGACTGCTAGTAGGCCTGACATTATGTTTAGTGTGTGCCTTTGTGCAAGATTTCAGGCAAATCCAAAGGAATCACATCTTACCGCTGCCAAAAGGATTCTGAAGTACCTTAAAGGAACTGTAAATGTTGGACTATGGTATCCTGAAGGTGCATCTCTTAGACTTGTTGGATTTTCTGATTCTGACTTTGCAGGATGTAGATTGGACAGAAAAAGTACCTCTGGTACTTGTCATTTACTGGGGAGCAGTCTTATATCGTGGCA